CCGGCCGGACCGGCCGCAACGACAATGCCTACATGTACATCCTCTTTGTCATGACGCTTTTCGCCGCCACGGTGGGCAGCCTCATCCTGGGTTACACCCGCTCCCACAAAGTGGACAAGCGCAGCGACCCGTACCACGTCTACATCAAAAACAGGGTCTCCATGATCTGAGTCTGGCCCCGATGCTTCGTCCCCCGAGAGATGGTGGCTTTGGGGTCACGTTGCTCAATGGGTCACTTGTCACAGTTTGAAAGGCCAGCGGACAGTCTTTTGTTCATCACCTGCTGGGCTGAGGCGGGGACCAGGAGGGTTTGGCACCGCTCTAGCCCCAAAGCTGCTGCCCCGGGTGCCCCCGTGGAGGTGCTCAGCCCCATCGTGAGCAGCGCAGGGACGTCCTGGCCGGGCTACGGCTCCTCTCTGGAGGACAGGATGTGACCCACGGGCAGGTCCTGGTGCCCCAAACCCACCTTGGCTGAGCCCTGGGGGGGACGGGGGTGGCAGAAGCGGCCGCGTTCCCACCTGTTTTTTTTTGCTGAGGCTGGCGGGGGTCTTCAAGGAGGAAAATTCACCATTTCCCTGCTCGGATCGGCCGGCGTTGACCTCGGTGGGCTCCCAGCAGCTTCCTGACGTGGGCTAGAGGGCTTTTCTGGTGCTAAAATTCTGTCATTTTTGAGCCGGGCTGCGCCTCGCTTTGCTGGCGGGGAATTAAAAGAGACGGTGGTTTCCAGCGGGGTCGCATTTGCTTCTTTGAGCAAAATCAGTGTCAGGGGTGATCCGTGGGGCACGTCTTCGTGTCCGTGTCCTGCCCCGGCTGCCGGAGCCCAGGGGATGCTGTAGGGGTTGAACCTGCTCCCTGCGGGCTGCCGAGGGGACAGCAAGGACAGCCCCTTGGTGGCATCACTGTCCCCGTCCCAGGACACGAGATGCTTTCTCCTGCTGCCGGCTCCAGCCACGGGCACTGGAGGCATCCGGCTCCACGTGTCACCGAAGGTCTCTCTGGACGGGATGGTGATGCCGAAGTTTTTCCTGCTTCCTTCCTGCCGTCGGCTGTAGCTTTGGCCTTTTGTACTGCAGGTCCCAAAGGTGTTTTCCACAGGGTGAGGGCGCAGTGACGGACGGGAAGGGGATGTTCTTGGGTCCTGCTGCGCTCCGTGGCTTTGGCTGCGTTATGAAGCTTGGGGAATGGCCCGTGGGGTGGCTGGTGTCCAGGACAGTAAAAGTCCCCGTCCTTCCAGCAGCACTGGTGACCCAGTCCCTCGCACGTCTTAAACCTGTTCATAATGGCGTAATGATGTCTTTAATTACAGCTAGATTAGGGGCCTTTCCGCCTGCATTCAAAGGTTAAACGCAGCTGCGATGCCCGAGTCCAAACAGTGACGCCAAACCCTAATCCAAAAAATAATACAGGATATGTGAGTGTGTTTGGGGCAGGGCTGGAAATCTTGGCACCGGAGGCACGGGGACGGCAACAGCTCCGTGACCGATTCCTGCTTTCCCGTGCCCTCAGCTTGGGCACAAAACGCAAGGCAGGGGGTTTCGGGTGGCCCCCAGGGGCTGCCTGCTTTGGGGTGAGCCCGCGGTGATTTCTGAGCTGGGTGCGTGGTGCCAGCAGGGGTGACAAATGCCACCAATGTCCCGCGGCACCTGGCCCAAGGGGGAAGTAGCTCGAGAGGCTTTGCTGTGTTTGTCTTGCTGTTGCAGTGGTGGGAAAGGAAAATAAAACCTTTCATCTGCAAATAAATCGGGGGAATCGGGCCAGGCAGGGGACAGCTGGGACAGCAACCCCTCGCCGGGCTGGTTCGTGCAAGCGCACGCCACGCTCGGGTTTTGTGCTTCGCTTTTTTCTGTCTCCACGGAGTTTGTCCTCCTCTAGTGCCACCGGGATGAACCGTGGAGCAGACGGTCACCCCAGGGCCAGGATGGGGGTCCCTGTGCTGGGACAGGGGCTGAATGGTGAGTGTGGCACCCCAAAACCCCCCGGAGATGTGGGCTTCTTGCCTTTCACGGTGGCCCTCCTGGGAGACGAGGTGGCCGGGATGGATCTGGTGACGCCCAGAGTCTCTTCTGCTGCTGTGACCTGTGGGGACAACCCTGTTACATGTGGCATGTCATAAAAATGGAAAAAAAAAAATTTGCTGCTTTTCCCTAATCCCCGGAAGGGGAAAAAACCCCCTCCTGCAAGACACAGCTCCTGCGGTGACCGTTATTCCCTCAGTTTCTGATCCATCGGCAGCTCCTCTGTCCGTCCTCGCTGTTAAATTCGGACCAGAGCCTGCAGCCGGGCTGGGGGGATGCCCTGGGCATCCCCACCCTGGGGACTCGGGTGGACGCCACCAGGCTGGGTGACAAGGTGCCAGTGCCACCTTGTTCGCCACGGCTGCCTGCTTCTTCCCCGGGGCACCCCGAGATACCTGGGGACAGAGTGGCCAGGCTTGTCCCCTTGGGACCCATGGCTCCGGGCTGGATGGTGTCCCCATGGGGACCCAGGACTCTGGGCTGGCTGGTGTCCCCTTGGGACCCATGGCTCCAGGCTGGCTGGTGTCCCCATGGCTCTGGGCTGGATGGTGTCCCCATGGGGACCCAGGACTCTGGGCTGGCTGGTGTCCCCTTGGGACCCATGGCTCCAGGCTGGCTGGGTGTCGCCTTGGGACCCATGGCTTTGGCTGCCTGTTGTCCCCTTGGGACCCATGGCTCCAGGCTGTCTGGGTGTCCCCTTGGGACCCATGGCTCTGGGCTGGCTGGTGTCCCCTTGGGACCCATGGCTCCAGGCTGTCTGGGTGTCCCCTTGGGACCCATGGCTCTGGGCTGGCTGGGTGTCACCTTGGGACCCACAGCTTTGGCTGCCTGGTGTCCCCTTGGGACCCACAGCTCTGGGCTGGCTGGGTGTCCCCAGGGGACCCACGACTCCAGACTGACTGGTGTCCCCTTGGCACCCATGCCTCTGGGCTGGCTGGTGTCCCCATGGGACCCACAGTTCCAGGCTGTTCCTGGGCTGCTGAGCATCCTCAGGGGGGACACAGAAACGGGGATATTGGGAGAGGACGGATTTGGAAGCCTCCTGAAATGGGTTTGTTTCAGCTGATGGAGGAAGGGTTTCGAAGCGCTCATCCCAGAGTCAGAGATTCCTCGTCAAAGCCAGTGGGGCTCTGGCCTTGCTCCCTGTGCTGCAGCCCCAGGAGCAGGTGATTTCTGGGTAACACTCAGGGGACACACTCAGGGGCACAGAGAGGAGAGCTGGAGAAGCGCTGGCTTTGTCTGAATCGCTAAATCCAACCATGGAAATCCTAGCTGACTACATCTGGGTTTTAAGCAATAAAGCTAAAAAAAAAAATAGGGTAATGGGAGGCCTATTTAATTAAGTTTGGTTTTTTTTTTTTTTTTTGGTACACAGCAATAAATCATGGGTCTGGAACTGGCTGATACTTGGAAAAGGACACCGAAACGTTGTGTTTGCAGGAATTTCAGGCTGACCTTGGCTTAGCAAGGCAATGGTGGGATTGTTGGAGCAATGGGAAGCACAGAGGCTCGTTCCTGGGACTGCTTTGACGCTGGGTAGTTTGATAAGAGAAGTGGAAGGTGGAACGGTAGCAGCACAGGGACTGATAGCGACGGTATCGCCGAGCGATGCCAACGGATATCGGTGAATGTTTAGCTAACAGCACGAGGTGCCTCCGGCGGTTTGTGGTATACTGGTTTTGGCAGGTGGATATGCAGCACGGAAGGACTGAGGCATGGGAAGGTGTGCTCAACAGGAGCTGCTTCTCCGAGGCAGCGGTCAGCACAGCCCATGGTAGACAAGGGCTGTGATGGGGAAAGTTAAGCTTGGGAAATATTAAATAAAAATAAAAATAAAAATAAAAAGGAAGGGAAAGCGCTCCCAGTTCCCAGCAGGGCAGAGAAGTGCTGGACCAGCATCCCACGGATACCACTAATTTATTTGCTAATCTAATACGTGTTAGCTGCTAAGGGAACCTACCGAGTTCTGTTTGTCCCATGCATAAAGCTACAAAAAAATGCTACGAAATGAGGGGTGGGAAAGCTGGGGAAGGGTTAAGGTCAGTTCATACATCAGCAGCAATCATTACCGATAAGAAACGGGACACGAAGCTGTAACGGCGTTGTGGCGAGGCCGTGGGGCTCAGCGCTGTGGGTGTCACAGCTCACAGCATCCTACGGAAAGACAAACGGTTTCAAGCAGCAACGTTACTTATTCGTTATTGCTCGTCTTCCTCTGGAGGAAGAGCAGAGGTGATGGTCTCCTGCGAGGTAACTCAGTCAGCCCTGCTCGCAGATGGGGTTGGCCATGGTCTGTGTCACCTTAAAAGGGTTTTCTGGGAGGTGACAAGGTCATTATTACGGGAACGGGGCTGCTCCTGGACACACAAACTCATCTTTCAGGTCAGAAACCCTCCCTGTCCAAAACACATCAATTTTTTCTAAGTATATCCAATTTTCTCACCAAAGACACAGCCTGTTCCTACAACCTGCCTTGCTGATGGCCCTGCGGCGTCATGGTTGGAGCAATACCCTTGTTCGGAGGGATGAGGGAAACAAAAGTGACTGAAACCAAAGAACTTGCCCCGTTTGGAAGCTCTGCAGGAATTGCAGCACAGGGTCAGTCGCTTGAAGTCCTCTGTGGCCCTTTTCCTCTGTTTTCTATCATCCTGCTGCACCGAATGTCCGTCCATCCTCTCTCACACCAGGCTGGTATCTGGTGCTTTAGATAAAGATGTGGGAAACCTAAATAATTACGTGCAAGGATGAAAAAAACATTTATTCTGCCCTTCTCCATTTTCTGCCTGTCCAAACTAGCCCCCT